AAGAAACCCTGGATAAATTTAAATACATACCTGATTGTCAAAGCCAAGGGGCTCGGCTTGCTAGTTTGGAAAAACCAGGCAAATTGCTCAGTTCAGAGCCTTAGGAAGTACAGTAACCTATTCCACTTGAGAGATCAACTAGTGGAGTACCCCCACTGTCTTTTATTCTGTATTATATTTGCATCATTCCTTGTATCTCATTGGCTGACTTTTGTGCAGTAAAACTCTTACATTTTAAAAGTGACTCATACATAGAAATTTGCACATCCAAAATGTCTATGAAGATTCTCAATCATCCAGGTCATGGTTGTCCCAAAGGTGCTTTTTCAAGAGGTAACTTGACTTTTTTGTTTTTCTTTGAAGACATTTCCTTTCTCATCCAAGAATTTTCTTTAGCTCTGACTGGATGGTGGGGAATGAAAGGGTTTATATTCCTTGCAGACAGTTAGTAAAAAAAAAAAAAAAGCACCTTTGGGACAATCGTGACCTAGATGACACAGAATCTCCATAGACATTTAGCTATGCACTTTGGGATGAGCACCCTTTGAATGATGCGGGAGTATGAACAGATTTTCAGAAAAATTGCAGACTATAGGAACCATTTGCACTTCGAGATGGAAACCACACAGACTCATCCCCAACAGCCTGTGCCTGTCTTCAACAGTGAAGGGACACAGGGCAGAAAATACCCTGCAGAAAGCACAGCTCCACAATACTGTCCTTTCAACAGTTCTACTACACCTGCACTACTCAGGTGACCCTGAGGACACCGCCAAAAACCTCCAGGTGGCCTCAGTGACTCTTTAAAAGAATGAAAATGACCAGCTGTCTGCAAGGAATATATATCCTTCCATTCCCCACCATCCAGTCAGAACTGAAGAAGCTTCTTGGATGAGAAACAAGAAAGTCCAGTTACCTCTTGAAAAAGCATCTTTTTCCATACTGGGCATTTTTCCATCCTGGGCATTCCCATGAATTGCGTATTCCTTGTTAAAATCTATAGGACAGAGGTCTCCAATCTTTTGGGCACTAGGGACTGGTTACGTGGAGAGAGGTATTTCCGCGGACTGGAATGGGCATGGTTTTGTGTGCTGCCTGCATCCCGCAGATGGGGCTTTGCTTGTTTGTACGGCCTGGTTGCTGGCATGCCACGGCCCAGTACCAGTCCACAGACCGGGGATTGGAGACCCCTGCTACAGGATATTGCTTGACAATTGGAAATCCCAAATAGGGTTTTACTTTAGCACAAGAAGGATCCCATTCTTAGAATTTCATCAAAATGCAGCAGATTTTCTCTAATGCTAAATTCGTTCAGGCCAATTTTTACAACAGTATGGCAAATATGCAAACTTCAGAAACCATAGCTAAAACAGAATGCTGTAAAAAAAGCATCAGACTCCAATAAGTTTTCTGTTCAATGCAGTATAGTATTTCTGCAGCTGAGGACCAAGCGAGCATCTCAAAGCATATTTGTTACATTTTACTGAGCAATTCCTTGACAATAGTCAACGACTTCCACAGTGGTTGAAAACAGTATGTACATCAATACCTTTCTGAAGACCAGGTTGTTTCTCACTTGGCATTTTGTACTTTTGTGAGCTCTTGCATCTATAGAAATACAATATTAATTAGACCAGGAGTCTTTAGCTGAAGCCTATAGATCAGTGATTACATTTTAGCTGGTCTATTAAAAAAAGTATCTTATTTTCCCTACGCCCTACTTGAAATTAGTTTTACATGTAAGCAACAAAATAATGTATAAACTCTAGGTTCCAAAAACATTTGTGAACTGCAACAAATCTTGTTATCTTAAATTATTATAGCTTGAAGGTGGTAGCTAGTCCTGAACTTACATTCATTCGTTTAGCAACCATTTATAATTACAATGGCACTGGGAAAAATGACTTACGGTCCAGTCCTTGCACTTACAACCACTGCAGGATTGCAACGGTCATGCAGTCAAAATGTGGGTGTTTGGCAACCAGCATGTATTTATGGTGACTCCAGCATCTCCAGGTCATGTGATTGCCATTTGCGACCTTCCCAGCTGCCTTCCGACAAGAAAATCAATGGGGGGGGGGAGTCAGATTTACATACAACCATGTGTTTCGCTTATCAACTCCAGTGATTCACTTATCAACTGTGGCAAAAAAGATTGCACAATTGGGCATAACTCACTTAACCACCATCTGGCTTAGCCATAGGAATTCTGGTCTCAGTTGTGGTTGTTAAGTCAAGGACTATCAAGGACGACCTGTGTTGTTATTAATAGATTAATAAAGAAACCCATATATTACTATATCACATATTATTTATTAAATAATTTGATAACTGTATTTGAGCATTACAACACAGAATTGGTCAAATGAATGCCAAGGGAGCTAACAAAATTCCATTCACTTATAATCAGTGAATTGTAATTTATAATCAGTTATCATTAGATGAGATCTTCAGTAGTGTGAAATAACATACAAAATTAAAATAAATTATCGCATACAATGATTTACTGCATGTTTGGATATTTTTGGAAGACATCAATTGTCCCTAACTGAAGGGTGAGTACCATCTTATGTAAGAACATACCAATTCAGATGTCAGAGAATTCATTCACATGCCAAATGAATCCAATGAGATAACCAGGATCGATGTCTTGCTGAATCTGCTAATCCTTTTAAAGATAGATCAGGAGCCATTGCTGTGTCTTGCCATGGTCCAATCGCATAGCTAAACTATGGTTTTCAGTAATATTTTAGGATTATGCCAAGCTAAATGTCTCAACATAAATCTCTCTAATCAGCTATTGGAAGCCCCAACTCAAGAGAGTGTAGGGCCAAGATCATCCAGTAGGGAAGTTTGAAAAAAAGTTGATGGACACAAAGGTGAAGGAAAGAATACAAGACTGTATTAAAGTAATCTGCAGCAAAAATCTTTAAGAAAGGTAACTTAAGGAAAATTACAGGCATTGTGGGAAAAATCCTACAGCAGCGTTTCCCCATCTTAGCAACTTTAAGATATGTGGACTTCAACTCCCAGAATTCCCCAGCCACCCATGGGGAATTCTGGGAGTTGAAGTCCACATATCTTAAAAGTTTCCAAGGTTGGGAAACATTGACCTATAGAGACTCATTTTACTTATGGTCAGATGACAGCAGTTCTTATCCTCAAAAGAGGAGGGTGGGCAGTAGGTCCAAAGTGGAGTGAAAAGGCAAACTCATGGCAAATAATTCTTAAGAAACTTTGTCCCCCACATATAATCTATGTAATATAATTGAAATTACACATTTTTAATCATTCTCCTGATGACAAATATCTAAATAATCGCTCATCCTACTTGGTTGATCAATAGCCCAGGTAGGATTTTGTCCTCTTTTTAAAAGTTTCACTTTTGTCTACAACTTTGCCTACCAGGCTGTACGGCTACATGGGGATGGCCATTGAATAAGTAATAACCCTCAGCATTGGTCACCAATGCTGGCCAAGAAAATCTGATGGGCTTTCCCTTGATGTCAACAAGACCCAAGCTTAATTTGAAGGAGACTTTGTCTTTTTTTTAATTAACACATAAATAGAACATGTAAAAACCCAGTAGTATAGAAATATAATTTGATATAATATATTGCAGCCGGCAGATAGAATTCTGTCCAGTCAGTTTTAATTATGGGCTATTTTGGAACACTTGGATGTTCAGCAGGAAACTCAACTCCTATTTTGTACCTCATGCCATCTCCAAAAATTGTTTCCAAGCCAGCATAAGGAGTGACACCAAGAAAAGAAAAAGAATTCTAGCTGTAAAAAAAAAAAGCACTTATTTTGTGTGTTCTAGATCAGTGATGGCGAACCTTTTTGAGACCGAGTGCCAAACTGCAACCCAAAACCCACTTATTTATCGCAAAGTGCCAGGGCTGCATTAGCATTGTGATGCCCTCGGCGGGGGGGAGGGGAGGAAAGCATGGCCCACTGGGTGGGTGTGGCTGCAGTGGTCATGGCAGACTGGGTGAGCATGGTTGGGGCCAGTCCCTTGCCATCTCCAGGGCATCCCTGGGGGGGCCAATGCTGCTTGCTCGCTCATTTCCTGCCCTGTTGCTTCTAAACGCCACATGCTCACTATTCTGGCAAACTCCACTGGGGCAACGGCACGCATGCCCACAGAGAGGGCTCTGAGTGCTGCCTTTGGCACGTGTGCCATAGGTTCGCCACCACTGTTCTAGATCTTCTTTGTTCTGCTGGTGAGATTTACAAAGAACTGAAAGACATTAAATCCTCCCCTTCTGAAGAGAAAAGCTGATGCAGTTAGCATAAAAGCACAGCTTAAAAAGGACAGTTTTTTAGTTTAGAAGATTCAAATGTTTCTAGTAGCAAAAATAATGATAGAAATTATCATGAATTAATATTTCTATTGATTTGTTTTGTTCTCCCCTTTATGGACAAGTGACAAACATAAATGCCATAAAGTTATATTAAAATGAACACAAACAGGCATACATTTTATTTCCCTGAGAATATTTTAACTGGGAGGCTTCTGCTACATTTTGGTAGACAAAACCTCTATACAAAACTGAAGACTAGAGTCTATCCAAAAAATTAAGTCTAGAAAAAAAAATCTTCCGTGTGTTTTGTGTATATGTATGTACATGTAAATATTGCTGGTACAGTTTAACAGGAGGGCAGAATTCAATAATTTGACTATAGAGACATAAATATACTTCAACTTCCATTTTCATAATCTCATAAATTTCTGTTAATCTGAGACCTTATTCCACCATGGTACTTTTTGGCTCCTTACTGTCCTCAAAATTGTCCATTTTCCACTAAGGAAAGTAGTCTTAATGGCTACACAATCTAAAGATCAAGATTATTAGATTTCTAATAGAATTCTTTAAAAGATACAGAGGAGAGGTGAACAGTGTGCAAATCTTTGAGTTGTAAACTGGAGGATCTTGTTTCATGCCTAAAATCCTCTGGCCTTTTGCAAGAGAATTTTTGTGACAAAACTATCTTAGAAAAAAAAAAACAGAATTAAGAAAACTCAGGGGACATAATCAGCTAGATAATCACTCTACAAGCTTTGTTTAAAAACAAAAAAGAGGTTTCATATTCTCCATCTCTTTTCTGCCAATTTAATCAAATAACGAAGACATGTACCATTAAAAAAAAAACAAAACACCAGCATGTTAGTGTCTGCGTTGATGTAGCATTTTGTCTCGTAAATGTTCTTCCAAACACTGAATTGCAAAAGGATCAACATCAGTATCAAACTTGTTGGCAAAGAAATGATGTTTCCGTAACATCCAACTCAAGTCTCCGACTCCAAAGACACATACAGAACGGACGTGAACTCCATTGCAAGGAGGGTAAGGAGCACCCTTGGATACATCGCCCTCAAAGTAGTGCCACTTCACAAACCGGGCAACTGCATTCATATCGGAAACATCATATTTGCCACTGGCGGAGACAGCACCAGGAACCTCAGGGATTCGCTGAATTGTTGCCCATAAGTATTCATCAGGACTGTATGTGTCTTTAGCCCATTCTATAAAAGCAAGAATTTTGCTATTCTCTAATATATATTCCACAAACCTCCTACTAACAACAAAATAGGCACTTCCAGAGAAAATGGGTGTGTTGAGAGGTGGGTGCTGTTTGTCTATCCCTGTGTTTTTTATCTTGCCATCAATTACTTCGTGATGTTTCTTCCACCTCACCTCTTTGTTTGAAGGCATTTTTTCCGTTTCTAAGCTATTTTCACCGTTGAGGGCTTTCAATTTCTCCACTATTTCTTGATTGGTCTTGATTGGGAAATCCATACCGCAGAGATTGATTAAGTACTTCCAGCTCACATTCCTCCTATAGAGATCCTTCATGCAGTTGAGGTCAGCTTGTACCCGGCTCCATGATGCATACACTACACTTTCCAATTGGCTGGCAATGAAGACATTATGAAAACATGATGCAATCCCCTTTACAGCTGCCAAGAAAGACTCTGGGGACTTTTTGTCAACATGAATGCAGTAATAGTTCTGAGGAGCATATATGGTTCTCAGAAGTCTCTCAAGCATATTAATTTTATGATAAGCCACTATTGAATATGCAATGGGAAATTCTGCTTCTTCTTGGCTAAGAGGTTCCATAATATATTTCCGCTTCTTAATAAAGGAGGCGCAATCAATTGTCATGTTGATATAGTCGTTTGGAGTTATTTTTGGGGTTCTCCTAAAGGAGACTGTTAACAGCTCAAGCTTTACCTTTTGAATTTCCGCTGTGTCACCTTCCAGTATCTTGGAACAGTTTACTGCATTAGGATATTCATCAGTCAGTTCCAAATGCTCATCATCTTGATAGGTTGGTTTCTGATGAACTATAATATAAGACCAGATTCCAACTGTACAAACTAACACCCAAAGAGGCTTAAACCGCAGGATAGTACAGTGACGAAGTTTCCTCGTTAGCATTTCAGACAACTTTTGGAACCTTTCAGATATTTAAGGGACTTTTTCTGTACACATGATTAAGTTCCAGCCGTGTGTAGTTCTGTTAGCATTTCTCATTGATAGATTCCTATAAATGAAAAGGAAGATAAAGTCAGGGAGAACCAGCTCTTTTCTCTATAATCTGCTGTAAATCTGCAGATCCACCTATCTTTATCTTGTTATTCAGCTGAATGAGGACATAGAAATAGTAATAGCGCTTAGACTTATATACTGTTCTATAGAGCACTCACTGAGCAATTTACAATGTCAGTGTATTGTCCCCAACAATCTGGGTCCTTGTTTTACCAATCTTGGAAGGATGGAAGCTGAGTCAACCTTGAGTCTGTTAGGATCGAACTCCACGCTGTGGGCAGAGTTAGCCTGCAATACTGCATTCTAACCACTGTGCCACCAGGGCACTTTTAAATATGTGTTATGAAAGACATCTTTCATAACACACACTTGACAGCCTAATGCTGGATCATTAACATTTAACCACAGTTATGGTATGTACACTGACAGATGCACATAAATTCAAACCTAGATATAAGCTTGTTATTCATAACTTTGCTTTACATTTCTGCATACTTGTTTTCCCCTTTAAGAGGGAAAAAAAGAGAAAGTGGTAAGCAAAAAAAACTGAAGATAGAATAGACAAACATATCTAAAATCAAAATACAATTCAGCATACTTCTCCATACCTTTCTAAGCCTGCAAACCATCCTTGCTTCCATCGTATCTATACAATTTCATGCATTTCTTTTTTTTCTTTAAACTCTTTTTGAGGACCATCAACTCCTTCCAATTACATCCATGGACCATCTCTTTTGTGAGATTCCCTAGCTACCTGCAGATTTCAGGAGCAATTCAAGATACTGGTTGTCCCCTACAAAGTTCTTCACAACCAGGATATTTGAAGAAGCATCTATCTTCTTGTTCACCCAGTAAGATCAGAAGAGTCGATATGCTGCAGGTTCTGCCTATTAAACAGCCATCTGAATGGAGCCAAGAAGTAGGTCTCCTAGCCACTGTGCATCATATTCTATTTATATGATGGAATCCTCTCCATCATATAAATAGAATAAATGAATAAACATTTCATTTTCTTGGCTTTCCCCTACCTTTTATTTCATATATTGATTTTATTATCCAGGCTTCATTCATTCTCTCTATATCAACGAACCATCCTAGTGTATTTATTTCACTCATATCTGTGCCGGTCTATAACAGTATAAAGATTTGATTGATAAATCACTCATATTAGTATTCAATACACAATTCAGCATCCATTCATTATTGCTTTACCATATACTCCTCCTAAGTACATCATACCTACTACATGCAACTTTATTTTGACATTTCTTCTAACATGCATGTCTTATTTCCATAGAAGAAAGTGGGCAGTGAGGCAGTTAATACACAGCCATTTCTAATTCTTTCCTTTCTCATTACAGAGAAATGTGTTTCTATTATCACATTTGCAAGTCTTATAGTTTATCTATCCATTTCCAATCTTCCCTCAAATTTTACTCTAACTATACTAGATCGGACTAACTTAAGAGGTCCATGGATATAACATAATTGGGGTTGATTTACTTTGTGCATTTAAAGCAATATTAGAATTAAAATAAGTTTCTAAAAAAGTTTTGGAAAACAACAACAACATTGGCTATGTGGGATGGGAATCCTGACATATCTGAAGGGCACCAAATTGAGCATGCCTGTATTAATTCTTTACATTAACTCTTCTTTAAAAGTTGTTTTATTTAACCAATATTCAGGAAAAGACAGCATGGCAAACATTTTATGCAAGAAATTTGGAGATATGTGAAAACTCTACCTAAATAGATTTCTATTCCCCCCCCCTCTATCTATCTATCTATCTATCTATCTATCTATCTATCTATCTATCTATCTATCTATCTATCTATCTATCTATCTATCTATCTGTATATATATGGTCAAAAATAGTCTACCAGTCTTTGGCAGCAAGAAAAAGACCCACCTCGAGCAAAAAGCCTAATGTGATAATAACTCAAAAATAATGTAAAATAGCAATAGCACTTAGACTTAAATACTGCTTCGTAGTGCTTTATAGCACTCTCTAACCTGTTTACAGAGTCAGCATATTGCCCCCAACAATCTGGGTCCTCCTTTTACCAACCTTGGAAGGATAGAAAGCTGAGTCAACCTTGAGCCAGTGAGAATTGAACTGCTGGCAGTCAGCAGAGTTAGCCTGCAATACTGCATTCTAACTACTGCGCCACCACAGCTCCTAAAAGTCTCAATTCTGTTTCCATCCAAACATTATAAAATTATTAATTGGCCCCATATTACCTTAAAGTTCTGAAAAAGGCATTAAAATAGTATATGCTTAATCAGTATGTCCTATCTTAAACAGAATAGCTACAGGGGAATATTGGATAGGATCAGAAAGGCATTGTGTTGAGAATGGGGATTTATTTTTTTCTCCCTGTATTATAATAAAACTATTGTTAAACCAAAATAGCAATTCCTTCCTGGAATCAGTTACACAAGACGTTTTTGTGGGAATAGGAGATTCTGTGTGTGTGGAATTGTGAAACTACATTTTAACACTCCACTCGGCTTTTAACTTATTCAAACAGAGCACTTTTTTCTCCTATAACTTAGATAAACATGGTGGATTCTTAAGCCTGGGTGCAGGAGATTTTTTTTTTCAGCATGCAGATTTTCACAAAGGCTCCCTTTTACACTAGGTTTGCAAATTATATTTTTATGTGTCAAGTAAAAAGCTTACACAGTATAAGCCACAGTAGCATCCTTCACACATAATGGCTAAGCAACCCAAACCAACTCTCATAACACTATTAGTCATGTACAAAGATATCAAGATGGAAATACCAAGACTGAAGAGAAACTTATTTGTAAAATCTACCGTCTTCTATTAGAGGAAAATAATGACCAATCCACTTTCCGGTACTGATGAAAAAACTAAGGAAAGAAGAAAGAGACCCAGCAGATCTTAAAACTGGTAACTGCCCTCTCTGGAAATTCCTGCAGAATTGGCATAAAGCTATGAAAAAAATATATGAAATAAAGTTAGGCACTCAGTTTCATGCCTTTAAATATTAGAATACTAGAAAATATTAGAAAACTATGTTACTGCCAATCAGCTTTATTGAATATATTTATGTAAAATACAGAGGAAATTATTTGATAAACTACTGGTCCTAACAACATCTACTTGCATTTGTAATGAAGTCCACAGCACTATTCCAATAAACGGGTTGGACAAAAGCAGATCAGCTAAAAATATTACATCATTTTCCCTTAACTTGGGTGTGTTGTTGCCCATGAATTCTGGGGAATATATTGCTACCGGATGAGCACCAAGTTGGGAGAAGCTGCAGATGATAAGCAGCTAGCTTAACTGCTGTGTCTCATGAAGAGAGAGATATGAAATATAAGAATGGCATTCCTCAGATGTGAAACAGAGTTTTTAAATTAATTACTCTGCAAGGACAATAGACTGACAACATCCGGTTACATAAAGCAGGACTACTAATGCCAAAATTAATCATAATCACAGGAATATCCTGTAACGCTATACTGAACTTGTAGATATCAAACGAAATTCAGGAAACGAAACCCACAGAGTGCCATCTTTTGGAAGGTGGTTTTAAATAGAATGGTGCTCAAAACATCTCTTACATATTAACAATCCCTAAATAGCATCATCCCCCTATTATAAACCAGTAGTGTTCTTCTATAAAGGCTCATAACCATAACCTTGGTTAAGAACTACCAAAACCAGAGTGCTCATCAGTGCCGAAATTCCACTCTTCGTATAATTTCTAAAGTGGTATCAATGCCTCCACAGTATTCAGTGGTAATGACTCTAGGACAGGGGTCTGCAACCTTAAACACCCAAAGAGCCACTTGGACCTGTTTCCCAGAGAAAACACTGGGAGCCACAAAACTTGTGTGCGCACGTAAGAAGTGGGGACCTCGATTGAAGAGTTTAATTAAAAAGAAACAGAGGCTGCTGTGCATGAGTTCTTTCTTTCTCTCTCTCTTTACTCTCCCTCTCGCTCTCTTTTTTTCTCTTTCCTCTCCTTGTTTCTCTCTCTTTCCTCCCGTTTCTCTTTCTTCTCCGTCTTTCCCTTTCCTCCCTTTCTTTCTCTTTCTCTCTCTCTTTCCCCTCCTTCTCTTTCCTCCCCCTCTCCCTCTCTTTTTCTCTCTCCCTCTTTCTCCCTCTCCCTCTTTTCTCTCTCCCTTTCTTTCTCTCCCTCTCCCCCTCTTTTTCTTTTTTTCTCTCTCCCTCTCCCTCTTTCTCTCTCCCTCTCTCTCTCTTTCCTCTCCCTCTCCCTCCCTCTCTCTTTCCTCTCCCTCTCTCCCTGTCTCTTTCTCCCTCCCTCTCTCTTTCTCTCTCTACCTCTTTCTCTCTCTTTCCTCTCCGGAGCCGCAGGTTGCCGACTCGTGCTATAGGAAGAAAGCCTAAACATACAAGTACTCCTCAACTTATAATCATTCATTTAGTGACCATTCAAAGTCACAACTCTGAAAAGTGATTTATGACCATTTTTCATACTTATGACTATCGCAGTATCCCCATGGTCATGTGATCAAAATTCCGCCTCTTAGCATCTGTCTCATGTTTATGACAGTCATGGTGCCCCGGATCATGCGATCACCCTTGGCAACCTTCTAATAAGCAAAGACAATGCGGAAGCCATAATCACTTACCAACAGTGTTACTAACTTAACAGCTGTAATAATTCACTTAACATCTGCGGCAAGAAAAGTCATAAAATGGGGCATTTAACAACTGTCTTGCCGAACAATAGAAATTTCAGGCTCAGTTATGGTCATCAGTCAAGAACTACCTGTATACAGTGCTGAAGGTATTGGCTGCCACACCTGTGGAACTCTGAATTACCTTTGTCTTGTCTCATGTAAAAGCTAATGCAACTTTTCTCCTGAAGAGGTTCATGGGGATGCAACATTTCAGCAAGGAAACTTCATTAATCAAACCACTTTGGCAGGTAGTAAGCATTATCCAAATTAATAATACCTGTATGAAATGTTTAATGAACTTTCCTAGGACTTGTAACAAACTAGAGCAATACCATCTGGAAATTCAGTAACTAACAAATAACCCAGCAGAACAGTGTTTCCCAAACTTGACAATTTTAAGGCATGAGGACTTCAACTCCCAGAATTCCACAGCCAGCAACGCTGGCTGTGGAATTCTGGGAGTTGAAGTCCACATGCCTTAAAATTCTCAAGTTTGGGAAACACTGCAGTAGAAGAACAATAGAGCTATTTTTGATTCTATTCACAATTCTGTCCATTCCAAGACATACAGTCTACCCAGATATTCAGTATATATAACTGTGGTCAGATACTCTCATTTACGTATATATGAATTTCACTTTACCGTCCTATTGACAGAAGAGCCAACTTTTGTGTGCTAATTTTTGAGGTAGTACTTTTCTCATTCTTTTTTCCTCCAAGAATGGTTGAAGAGAAAAGAGTTACTGCCATAGGGCAGAGATCCCCAACCGGTTCCGTGGGGAGAGGTTTTTCCTCGGACTGGAGGGGGCGTGGTTTTGTGTGCTGCCTGTATCTCGTGGATGTGGCTTTGCTTGTTTGTGTGGACCAGTTGCTGGCATGCCGTGGTACGGTAGTGGTCCATGGACTGGGGATTGGAGACCCCTGCCATAGGGTATAAAACTAGAACAATAATCTATTAGGAGCTTTTCCTTTTTTAAAAAAAAATATACTTAAAATTTATCCTGAATTTGTAATAGTGGGATAAATGGAGTTCACCTGTATATAAATCATTTTATTATTTTAGGGGGGGGGATCCTTTGACTTTGAAAATAGATAATTTTATTAGGTAGCACATTCCTTGTTCTCCATTGAAAAGAACCTCTGCAAGCTATCTTGCTACGGTTCCCCTCGAAATATACTCAGATATGTCAGACAAAGAACTTACCCTGGGAAAAGTGCTCTAGAGAATTCCTGCAAACAAGCCTGTGTGTACGTGAGACAAGACACTGCACAGATTGGATGGCTTTGTGAACACTGCTATGCATTCATTCCAGGATCAATCTGGAGGACAGATCTTCTCATAAAAAAGTGGAAAACAATACAGGGAACTTCTTCAAAAGGTAGCGTTTCAAAGGCATGCTTATTCATCCTAAAAGCCTTGGGGTGGGGGAACCATAATCACAATCATAAATTGTGTACCTAAGTCACAGATCCCCCCTTTGAGACCTTTTTCCATGATGGCAGCTTTCAAAGCTCTCTTCCCTCTGGGAGCAATCCATTCTTGAGCAGGATTATTCTGTGCCCTTCATTCTCGCCTGTGGAGTTTATCTGACACTCTCACAAAAATCCCATTGAAGCACATGGCAGATGCTCAGCTGGAATGAGATAACAATCAACACTTCCACTGACACCACCTTATTAAGGAAAGTTAGCTCACTTTGGCCATCCATCCTGCAATGGCAGAATAATTACTTCTTATAAGCTGAAAAAGAGAAGAAAATTTTAGCAGAAACAAGTCTGCCAAAATCTACAGGAAAGAAAGACAGAACACCAAAACAAGAAACAAAGAAGGCAGTTGTGTTGTAGCACAACACTATCTATTGTTCACAGCAAGCTTGAAACCTGTTACCTATAGCCTTATTTAGGAGACCTGTTTGGAATAGCACAGAGTCCAAATGGGTAACTCATATATCTTCTTTTAAAAAAAACACACACCTACCCCTCCTCTTCCCGTTACACAACTATTCTTTTCACAACAACTTAGAAAAAGAGACATAGTGCCAGGAAAACACTAAACTGCTTACCTGCTTATACATCTTTAGGAGTTCACAGACAAGCATTTAGATAAGCATGGCTTAGGGTTTAGTAGCTTGGAAAGATGCCAGTTTCTGAGATCTGGAAGAAATTCAGCAAAAAATGGATCCTTCTTAGATTTCTCAAACTATTTTTGAATGTATGTCATGCTCCAAGTGCGCTGTATCTTTCAAGAGCATGTCTATGGGAGACAAAGTAATTGTGCAATGATAGTGATTCTTATAATTCTTATAATTCACAGGTTTATCAAGATCCCCCGCCTAAATGGTCAGCATCTGATGCCCCCTAGTGCAATTCTCTCAATATTAGCATCACTTCTTAATGATTGTAAAGGGATCCATGCTTTTGACACACATACCTTTCCATATGACTCAAGTTAATAAAAATAAGTGGGGATATTTTAAAGAGATAATCACTGCAAGCATCTTTTAGCAGAGATACAACAATTAGTTTGGTTTAAAAAAGGAATGACATTGTACGTATCCTTGACTTCTTGTTCATTCACTATGTTGTGTCCAACTCTTTGCAACCCCATAGACCTTAGCACGCCAGCCCCCCCCCCCCATCCTATACTGTCTCTCTGAGTAATACTTCCAGCATCCTTGACTGGTAAGTTGGAATAAAAACTCCTTCAAAATGTTTGAAAGTTGTCCAGTATCATAATGGTCCAAATACAGCAAATTATCTCAACCAAATCTGAAAAGACCCCAAAATATTATGGGGAGGGGGTTAATTACTTTGTATAAAGTGACAAGTAGATAGATTTATCTGTTAACTTTGAAGTCTAGTCTACATGTAACATACCCTTGACTTACATGGTCAGCGGTAAGAATTAGGCACAAAAACCAAAGCGCAATACATTATTTTAACAATGTCTGAAAAAATATGCTCAAGTTTTCAAGTTACATATTCCCATAACACCAAACAGAGAGGCAGTTACTTCTGAAGAAGTTACAGAGGAAACCTATTTTAAATAGAGAGCTTAGTCACCATTCTTGAGAAACTCAATTTGTACATATATATACATCCTGCTTTAATCAGTATAATAGCATTTGAGCCCAAATCACTAGATACAGAACTGCAACCTGTGTAGTAGCTACTTGTAGTGAGAGACTTAGTACATGTATAACAGTATTTGATCTGTTTCATAGACAGATTAAGAAAGCATCTGTTGAAAGCCAGAGCATTTCCACTATAACACAATAGAATCACTGAGCAGAAGCAACTCAACGACTTAAACCAAAGTCATTGAGAAATATTATCTACCAGATGGAGTTAAATTATTTGGTCACTTATTGATGCTAAAATTTAGCAGCTAACCCAACTTTTAAGGACTTAGGCATCACTGAAAGAGAGCAGTAATCACCCTTCTACCCATTCTGTTTTAATGAATTAATATATTCCACTGAACATTCATTGGGCTTAAGTGCAAGTACCTGTTAATATGAATAATTCGTTCATGTGCCTTAGGAATAAATGTGATTTTCAAAGGCAGGGACTAAACATTTGCAAATCCCTAGATGGCTGCTGTGGAATCCACGGGTGTGTGTGTGTGTGTGTGTATTTCTATGTAAATGACTTCAAAAATCTGATGAGACTTCGGATGCCAATGCTTAAAATAAAAGATGGGGGGGGGATCTGCATACCACATGAAATTGCTTGTCCTCTGAAACAAAATTAGTTGGAAAAACATTAACCTCTTGGGGTCATAAATTGCTTGCCCTCTCAAAAAACATTAACTGGCAAAACATTAACCTCTTAGGCTCCAAAAGAGGATAATGTTTAGCCACTGCTGTTAACATCATTGCAGTTAGGAGTAGAAGAAAAGCTGTTATAATATATGATGTATAAAAAACAAACTTAATAAGATGTATTCAAAGAACATGTCTCTGAACTTTGCTGAAGCTTTTTCCTTAATCTCCACTGCTAACTTCTAAATTGTCAGCCTGTATATATGGAAGACAGAATCAAGTCCTAGGTAGATGATTTTATCCCAAATACCATCTCATTTGCATCACAGAACACAGAATAACAGAGTTGGAAGGGATCAGGTCATCTAGTCCAATCCACTGCGCAAGCAAGACAGTTCATACCATTTCAGACAAATGGCTGTCCAATCTTTTCTTGAAAGCCTCCAGTGATGCAACACCCACAACCTCTGAAGGCAAGCCATTCCACTAGTTGATTCTTCTCACTGTTAGAAAATTTCTCCTTAGTACTTGGTTGCTTCTCTCCTTGATTAGTTTCTAGCCATTCTTGTCTTGCCTTCTAGTGCTTTGGAAAATTGGCTGACCCCTCTCTTCTTTGTGGCAGTCCCTCAATTATTGGAATATTGCTATCAAATATCACACACACACACACACACACACACACACACACACACACACACACATTCATACATATACATATACACCATGTTTCCCCGAAAATAAGACCAGGTCTTATATTAATTTTTGCTTCAAAATTCGCATTAGGGCTTATTTTCCAGTTAAGGCTTATATTTGAGGAAATACTGTACTAAATGCGTCCGTCTGGCTGACAATCTTAACTAGGGCCTATTTTTGGGGTGGGGCTTATATTACGAGCATCCTGAAAAATCATTCTAGGACTTATTTTCCAGTTGGGGAAACATGGTATATATGTGTTATGATCAATGCCATCTTTTAAAAGTTTTTTTTTCTTTACTCTAGCATTCTTTAAAATAATCCTAGATGGAACTTGAAACTATCATCGCATCTGGTAGCTAATTTAAATGGCTCCATCCATATTTGGCCTTAAAGGTTATTAAACACAGAGCCTACAGCTTCAAAATCAGCTATACACACACATACACACACACCTACCTATCATATATATCATATATTATCTCATTTGCATCAAGAAAGGAAACATATTATGCCATAGTCTTTGCTTTATAAGAAGTATGAAGCATTATACATTATTAGGTATATGATTAGTTCTAGGGAAGAAATCATAAATAGGGAACATCAAAGGAAGAGGAAAATACAAAAATAATAGAAATACAGAAGACAGACAACTAGCCATAGTGATATACCAGGTAGTTGGCCAGTCTCCTGTCAGAAAAGAAATCCAAGGTAAGAAAACCAATTATTTGTAACAAAAGAGACTCTTAATACTTCAGCCACCTGTAAACTTTTATTACTAATTTTAAAAAGGATCCATTTGAACAGAAGAGGTTCAAAAAGAGGCACTGGTATACAGCTGCCACTAATTGTGCCAGCGTTTGAACATGAAAGATGATATATTGTTTAACCAAGTGTATTAAAACTTTCCTTTTTACCTTATATACAGAGTTGGATCAAAAGGAGGAGTGCTGACAATTTTGTTTTATTTTTGTAATCAAATAGGAGCTTGGACTCATTAAGGACTAATAGAAACAAAACATGTTACTTTAGAACATTCCTTGACCGCTGGACTTGGAAAACTATTTTAGTAGAAACTCAACCAGTTATACTCTGCTCTTATTTATTGGACAAGTAAGATTCTGGACAAAATGTAGCACTTGTGATTATCATTTACCAATCTAGCATTTGTGGACATAATGTCAAATTAAAGAAGGTGACTTCAGGCGACTTCTAAATCCCCCAGCCTTCTGGGCACCAGGGACTGGTTCCGTGGAAAGAGGTTTTTCCGCAGACCGGAGAGTGCGTGTTTTTGTGTGCTGCCTGCATCTCACGGATGGGGCTTTGCTTGTTTGTGCGGATCGGTTGCTGGCATGCTGGGGATTGGGGACAGTGGTGGAATTCAGCTGGTTGCACCACTTCGGCAGAACCAATAGCTATTTTTTTGTTGCCCAGGCCCAGAACGGACTTCTGGAAGCGGCATCCACACAGAGAACCGGTTGTTCACATATTTGAATCCCACCACTGGTTGGGGACCCCTGTCCTAAATCATCTACTCTGCCTATTCAGTAGCTGCTTTAACTTAAGTATTCTTGCAGGCTGAACAAAGTTGCCTTAAGCTAGAAGTACCCCTCTGGATTTTAAAAGCAAATTAAGTGTACACAGTTGACATATTTATTTATTAAATTTATATGCTGGCCATCTCACTATTAAGTGACTCTGAACCTGAGTTGCATTCTGAGTATATCCCCATAAAATTCCATTATTATCAAATTTGTTTGCCACCTATCTGGTGGTTCAAGGCGATTCTGAGTGGCAAACAAATAACAGCCATCTCACAGTGAGTGCATAGAGAAAGGTTTACAAGCTAGTAAAATAACACAAATGGAAACTAAAGACATAACTTGATTTTTCACACCCAGATTTTAATCCTAAAATTACATTAAGCAAGCTTTTAAAGGATACACCAAGATACATGCTGTAGATGCTGTAGCTATGCAGAGGTCCTTCAACATTGTCCTGCCTGCCAAATATACAGCACAAAGTGCCAGTGATGGAACACTAGTGTGAAGTGACATAACAGCAGGGAATCTACTTGGGGAAATAAAATCGCATGGAACTCACAGTCCTTCCAGACAGATTCTACTCCTGATAACTCTTAGGGGTTTTTTCCCCCCAATTTAATTTAAGGTGACATTTTGATGTTGCTGTTCTCAAACAAGAGGGAATAAAAAAAAAAAGGTGCCACAATAATCCCTTCCTAAAGAGTCAGGCTTTAATTTTATATTTCTGTATGCTACAACACGGTCAAATCTATAAAGCCCTTTTTGGCTCATTGTTCTGATGGTGTTCAGCAGCCTGCTTCCATTTCAGTGTTATGCCTCTCTCTCTCTCTCTCTCTCTTTTTTTTATTATAAATTTTTACAATTTTACAATAAAAACCCTCCCTCATTCTTTCCAGAGCTGAATACAGGGTTAACTAGAACTTAAAAGAAAAAACTTTTAAACTCAAATAAACCTCAAACAAATATG